TTAAGAGGCAAAATGGATTACCGCTTTCGCCTGTGACATTCTTCAAGGTGACAGTGTCGTGACTTGGCTGGGATGTCATAATCTGATAGGAAAAAGTTACTTTAAAAAACTAGCTTCAAACATACGATCACCTAAACAAACACTAGTTATGATATGATACTATGATTTCGATAAATCTCGTAAGAAACTGGTCTTCAAAAACTGCCCATATCTACGATAATTTTCTTTATAAAACATTGTTACATCGCATCTAAAATGAATAATTATTATTATAAGAACATTACACCGCACACAGGAAGGGTGAAGTTGAAAGGACTAATTGAGAGAGCGAAATATTATACTTCAGAAGCGGATTTCTTGGGAAACTATGCTCACGAAAAATTGCAGGCAAAAAGGTACAACGAAGCGGTATCACATTCATAGGGTAACTAGTCAAACCCCGATAAGACATCTAATTTCTATCATTCACCATAGAATAAGCACACATTTTTCAAACCCGATTAATAAAGTCAATATGATATACGATAAGTTAAGTGAGCCTCAATCCGATGCTAGTGTGCAGCGGCGAGGGGAACAGCAGCATCGATATGCTCCTGCAGCAAACTTGGACCATTCATCGGCTCATTAAAGTCAAGGTGAAGCACAACGGCAGGAGCAAGTCCAAGTGCAGCTAGAGTCTTCGCTTCGTCACCTAATGGCTCGCCACCTTTCATTGGATTTCGAAGTGAGAACAGGGCGGCCTCGTTCGCGAGATGTTTGGAAACGTATTCACGCACTGCCGACAAGGGCTCGTAACATCCAAAAGTCCCCTGAAAATAAATTTTGACATCGAAGATGCCGAGAAAAGTTAGATAGAAACGTGATGCGCACCTGAAGAACGTATCGGTCAGGGAGACGAATGCGAATCAGAGTATATTTGTAAGTGTACTGACGAAGTTTTTCGTCTCTTTCGCGCATTTCTTTAGTACGCAACATTAAGGTCTGTAAGAAAGATTACAATAAGGCTTCGACATAGCTTGAATTTCACTGTTAGTGTTTTCGCAATGTTGGTGAGACAATTGAGATATTTCTGGATGAAGATAAAATACAGCTGAAATACGCAATTTCCACCCATTTCCCAGTGAAACACTTCCTGTCACCCTTCACTCAAGAAAGAACTGTCTGATGAATGTCATCCGTAAAAATCCTTACCCGATTCAATTCTTCCGTCCTAATCTGTTGCTCCCGCTTGATCTCTTCCGCCGTTAAATCATAAAAGTCAGGCGGCAGTCTCGGCAGAGTGATGCGTTCGTTCTCCCGTAACGCAAAAATCTTAGATAGAATGAACAAATTGAAGATTTAAAAGTTAGACAGTACACATAATTTATTAGAAACTTACACAAGTATCCCTTGAGACTTTGATTGGGACACTTTGGCCATCTCGCAACATCTCTAAGGCCGCTATGAGGCGACCTGTGTCGTGGGCTGCCTCCTCACTAATCACAAGGAAAGGTTCTGGCTCATCCCCTTCTTTGAACGGTTGCATCTTCTCTTCAAATCCAACAGCTGTAAGGTATTCGCGACCACCTTTCACTGCCGCCACTCGCTCCTGAGGCAAAATAAAATTGT